TAGCCTTAATACCATAATCTGTAAGGATTTAATGTTAAGAATTAATCTAAGTCTGCTCGAAATGCCTAGCCATGCTAGGTGCCCTAGTGGCCCTCTCTGTAATTAGTATTTTATAACATGTAAACCACACAATACCCAAAACCTGTAAACCCCACATTGTAACCCTTATAGAGAATAAATTTGAACTGAATTGAATATAAAACAAATCCTGCAGCATGCAGTGCATAACGAGAAAAAAAATTACTGTGACAATGTGTTTGGATTAAAACACTGACTTTGCCATGCAGTTTTGTATGGTTTTAACAATGACAATGACAACGTTTATTTCCTTGTAAAGCTTACAACGTGTGGTTTACATGTTATAAAGTATTAATTACAAAGAAGGCCATTAGCATGCCTAGGCATTTCGAGCAGACTAATAATAATTCTTACTCTATATTGATATAGGTTATGGAGCAGTACATTTGAACATACATTATTAGATACATACATCTGGGTGAGTGTAAGTGTAAATTAGGGGTAATTACAGATAACGAAAATAAGATTATATTATTTTGGATGTGTTCATCATACAAAAAAAGAGAATTAGGTGGTTTTCATTTGGTTAGCTGATAATGGGGTGTGTTAGGGAGATAAGATGTTTTTTAATGGTAGTTTTGAAAATGGTGGTTGAGTCTGTGGTTCTAGAATTTTCAGGTAGGGAGTTCCAGATTTTAGGCCCATTTATGTACATCGAAATTTTGTACATCAATTGTAATCACAGTTTTTTGGTCTCATTTGATAGAATGGTAGATATATCACAGAAAGAGAGATGATTTTGATTCGTTTTAGTACTGAAAATTGCTTGAAATTGAGCTCAAAGTAGCAGAAACGTTCGATTTCTGACGATGTTCAGGAGTAAACAAATGATGTCACACGTCCAATACACATCAACTGGTGGGTCTAATATATGTCTGTGAATGTGCTGATATTATATATACAATTATTACAATATTGCATAACAGTAAATCTTCTATTTTTTGGTCTGAATAAAAATTCTTTATGTAAATAAAAATTCAAAATGGAATTCATGTGTAAAAGTCTGAAAATGTAATTAATAAACAGAGGAAATGTTATTTTAGTGCTAGGAATGCCTGCATTGTTTATTCTGGACCCTATTTTGAAATTGGAATATTTTGAACTTTGTGTGAAATTGACCAAATTACCAATTTCTGATCACTTTATTGGGTAGTTGAAGTACATAGTTGATTGGGCAGTTTGTTGTGCTCAATCAATAAAATAAAAGTAATATTAGCAAAATAGCTAAGAATCTGGTCGACAGGAATAATGTAATTGGACTACAATAGGAGACAAAGTGGGCAAAATCACCGATGCGTAAATATCGCTGATGCAGTAAAATTTGCAAAATCGCCAGTGCGTAAATGCAGCTGATGCAGTAAAATTCGCAATGGTGTAATTTCATCAACAAATTTCATACTTTTGTTTTATTACCTTCAGAAAAAGATTCTCTACCATTTCAAAAGAAAAATAACAAAAAAAAATTTTGAAAATTCTTGGACCTTGTGGACAAAGCATAGCTCTATGGCTTTGACCCTCAAAGGGTTAATCTTGTTTGGTTGCAAGGGGTTCTTCCTCATCCATGGAAAACTGCAGTTTTTCTGCCTTTTCATACACTGGGTGCTTCGGGCCATGATGCCACTCACTATTTACCCAATGCTCTTACTAGTGCAGTTTGCAAGTTGCTAACAGCTAGTAAATAGACATTTAGTGTGGTATTTAGAGACACACAATTGTCTTTCCACTCATCAGTTTGGCTTCCATAAGGGCAGGTCCAATGTTGACCTCTTACTCCATAACATCTTACTCATAACAACTTTGCCTGTAACCACTTGGTTATTGCAGTCTTTTTAAATCATGAAAAAAGCATATGACACTACTTGGTGATATAACATTTTGGCCCAAGCTCATTCCTTAGACCCCCGAGGCAGTCTGCCACTTTTCCTTAAAAATTTCTTCTCTGAGAGACATTTCCGTATCCAGGTTAACGTGTTTTCCCCTGACTATATCCAGGCTGAAGGTGTCCCTCAGGGTTGTGTCCTTAGCACCACTCTTTTCTACTAGCTATTAATGATCTTTACCTTGGTTCTCGCATCTAATATTTGGTCATTACTTTATGTTTATGATTTTGCTACAGCTTGAGCAGGTGCTGACTGTCACCTAATAGCAGCCTCTCTCCAGAATGTTATCAACTGTACTTCCCATTAGGCCACTACTCATGGGTTTAAATTTTCTGGTACTAAAACATATGAGATTCAGATTAATATTACTAGATACTCCGTTGTCTCTAATACTATATTTACCTGCATGGTTCCTGTATCTCTGAACGAGATACTGTCAGACTTCTTGGCCTTCTGTTTGAGTGCCAGCTGTCCTGGAAACCTCACATTACCTCCCGAATAGCAACTTGCCATAACCAGCTGAACCTCTTTAAAACCCTTGCCCATCTTTCTTTGGGGCAGACAGACAAACTCTCTTTCATCTTTACTCTGCCCAAATCTTATTGAAACTAGATTATGTGACCAAATATATTCTGCAGCCTCTCCTGCAACTCTTTCTAAACCTGATCCTATCCATCATCATGGATTACATTTGTGTCTAGGTGCTTTTCATTCCTTCCCTGTCGAGAGCCTATATGCAGAGGTAAAAGTTCCACCTTTGCATGACCAGCGTGATGCCCAATTGTGTCCGATATTTTGTCCACTCTCGTGACCTTCACAATCCTTCTACATACAGATAGTAACAGACATTAGTAGAGGTCCATTATTTGATCACTGTCCCTATTTACTCCATCCCTTTTCTCTTCATTTTCACTCTCTCTTGGCTTCTCTTCAATTACCCACTTTGTATGTTCATCCAGCACCTAACTTTTCTCTTCCCCCTTGGGAGGTTCCAACGATTTGTGTCTGTTCTTCCCTGCTACCATGCACTAAAGCTCAATTACCTACAGTTGCTTCTCACTCACTTTTTCTTAACCACTTCCAGTCTCATTCTCGTACCATTGCAGTTTACACTGATGGTTCTAAATCCTTTGATGGTATCGGGTTTGCAGCAGTGTTTCCAGTGTTGTGCTAGGTCATTTATTAGACTCAGCTAGCATTTTCACAACTAAACTGTATGCAATTTTCATCATTATTATATGCATTGCATCCATGTCTACCTCAATATTCTTGCTAGTTTCAGACTCCTCTAGCACTTTGCAGGCTATCAAAAAATTTAATTTTCCTCATCCCCTAGTTCATGGGGATGAGGAACCACAATTAAACTGCAACCAAAGAACAAAGAAATCATTTTCTGCTGGATCCCTGGATATATAGATGGACAGGCCAACAAGCAGGCAGACTTTGCTGTGCAGTCAGCTGTACATGATCTCTGCATTTCCCATGGGGATATTCCATTCTCAAGACTATTTTGCAATAATCTCTGGATACCTTCATAACCACTGGCAACAATGATGGTCAGAATTAATTCATGACAAATTATATTCTATCAAACCTTTTTTAGGTTTCTGGTCTTCTTATCACAGCTGTCATATTTAAGAGACTACACTCTCCCATCTTCGTATCGGACACACGTCTCACTCAGGGTATCTCATGGAGAAGCATCCAGTGCTGCTCTGTGAAAATTGTCCAGTTCTGTTTTCAATTTGCCAAATATTATTAAACTGTCCTGTCTACCAGAAAGCACACAGAATTTACTTCTGGTGTCATCAACATACTAGTGCTCTTACTTTATTTGACCTCCTAGCTGATGGCCTCACCTTTGACACAGATTCCCTCTTTGACTTTTTGTCAGCAACAGCTGTGTTACACCAATTTTGATTATACAGCCTCTCCTCACTGACGTACTCATTTACCCATGACTTGGACTTACGATGGGCTCTCTGACCAGTATGCATACCTAAATTATGTACATTAGAGCTGATTTTCTCTATTCTGTTTATTACAATATACAATACACTACTGTTTAAACATTTAAAAATATACCAGAAATATTATAAATGGTGCAAAGGTGACATTAAAACAATATCAAAGATAGTTGACACAAACCCATTACCATTATAGTATAGTATGCTTGTCACTTAGTGACGAATTTGTTTACTGATGTGGTCTTAGTAACGGAAATCTGTTGTTAAGTGAGGAGAGGTTGTACTTCCATTTAGCACTCCTCGCCACCCCTACTGACTCAATCTCCAGCTTCTTCTTCATCCTTGTTGGTCTCTGATCTGGCTAGTAACATCTTCAGCACATCATACCCTGCAGGGCTGTATGGCATTTGTGGGTTTAGCACTTAAGTTTTGATTGTAATAATAATAATAATGAGGAATGCCAGCATTTTACACCAACACTTCCACAACCATTTAATCAACTACAGAGATGCAAGATTCATCGCCAGGGAGGAAGACACTCAGTGTTGCAGAATCTTGAGGTCATCACTCATCTGTATATCCAACAATTTCAACCAGAACAATGGTTTTTACAATATAGCTAAACCCTTTACCAGGAAACTTCATCTTTAATCTACATAGCAACCAAATTACTTGCCCATCTCAGGTAGGTCCTTCTCAGCACTCTCCATACGACTTTCCATGTCACTATGTTCCCTATATATACTCATGTACTCTCTTCTCAGATAGATATGTTTGTGGGTGAAACCTAGTCAATAAGGAATCACATTATACTGCATTTGACTCTTTATGCACTGTACACTGTACAAAACCTCTCCAACACTGTACACTGTACAAAACCTCTCCAACACTGTATACTGTACAAAACCTCTCCAACACTGTACACTGTACAAAACCTCTCCAACACTGTACACTGTACAAAACCTCTGCAACACTGTACATGTACACTGTACAAAACCTCTCCAACACTGTACACTGTACAAAACCTCTCCAACACTGTACACTGTACAAAACCTCTGCAACACTGTACATGTACACTGTACAAAACCTCTCCAACACTGTACACTGTACAAAACCTCTCCAACACTGTACACTGTACAAAACCTCTGCAACACTGTACATGTACACTGTACAAAACCTCTCCAACACTGTATACTGTACAAAATCTCTCCAACACTGTATACTGTACAAAACCTCTCCAACACTGTACACTGTACAAAACCTCTCCAACACTGTATACTGTACAAAACCTCTCCAACACTGTACACTGTACAAAACCTCTCCAACACTGTACACTGTACAAAACCTCTGCAACACTGTACATGTACACTGTACAAAACCTCTCCAACACTGTACACTGTACAAAACCTCTCCAACACTGTACACTGTACAAAACCTCTGCAACACTGTACATGTACACTGTACAAAACCTCTCCAACACTGTACACTGTACAAAACCTCTGCAACACTGTACATGTACACTGTACAAAACCTCTCCAACACTGTACACTGTACAAAACCTCTGCAACACTGTACATGTACACTGTACAAAACCTCTCCAACACTGTATACTGTACAAAATCTCTCCAATGCTGTACAGTCTGACTTCAGGAAATATTATGAATATTGCTTACTATGCTTACAGTATTTACAACACAAGGATAGTGTAAGGTGCTACACGGATAGTGTAAGGTACCACAAGGATAGTGTAAGGTGCTACAAGGATAGTGTAAGGTGCTACAAGGATAGTGTAAGGTGCTACAAGGAGAGTGCAAGGTGTCACAAGGATACTGTAAGGTGCCACAAGGATAGTGTAAGGTGCTACAAGGATAGTGTAAGGTGTCACAAGGATAGTGTAAGGTGCCACAAGGATAGTGTAAGGTGCTACAAGGATAGTGTAAGGTGTCACAAGGATAGTGTAAGGTGCCACAAGGATGGTGTAAGGTGCCACAAGGATAGCGTAAGGTGTCATAAGGGTAGTGTAAGGTGTCACAAGGGTAGTGTAAGGTGTCACAAGGATAGTGTAAGATGTCACAAGGATAGTGTAAGGTGTCACAAGGATAATGTAAGGTGTCACAAGAATAGTGTAAGGTATCACAAGGATAGTGTAAGATGTCACAAGGATAGTGTAAGATGTCACAAGGATAGTGTAAGGTGTCACAAGGATAGTGTAAGATGTCACAAGGATAGTGTAAGGTGTCACAAGGATAATGTAAGGTGTCACAAGAATAGTGTAAGGTGTCACAAGGATAGTGTAAGATGTCACAAGGATAGTGTAAGGTGTCACAAGGATAGTGTAAGGTGTCACAAGGATAGTGTAAGGTGCCACAAGGATAGTGTAAGGTGTCACAAGGATAGTGTAAGGTGTCACAAGGATAGTGTAAGGTGTCACAAGGATAGTGTAAGGTGTCACAAGGATAGTGTAAGGTGTCACAAGGATAATGTAAGGTGTCACAAGGATAGTGTAAGGTGTCACAAGGACAGTGTAAGGTGCTACAAGGATAGTGTAAGGTGTCACGAGGGTAGTGTAAGGTGTCACAAGGATAGTGTAAGATGTCACAAGGATAGTGTAAGGTGCCACAAGGATAGTGTAAGGTGCCACAAGGATAGTGTAAGGTGTCACGAGGGTAGTGTAAGATGTCACAAGGATAGTGTAAGATGTCACAAGGATAGTGTAAGGTGTCACAAGGATAGTGTAAGATGTCACAAGGATAGTGTAAGGTGTCACAAGGATAGTGTAAGGTGTCACAAGGATAGTGTAAGGTGTCACAAGGATAGTGTAAGGTGTCACAAGGATAATGTAAGGTGTCACAAGGATAGTGTAAGGTGTCACAAGGATAGTGTAAGGTGTCACAAGGATAGTGTAAGGTGCTACAAGGATAGTGTAAGGTGCTACAAGGATAGTGTAAGGTGTCACAAGGATAGTGTAAGGTGCCACAAGGATAGTGTAAGGTGCCACAAGGATAGTGCAAGGTGTCACAAGGGTAGTGTAAGGTGTCACAAGGGTAGTGCAAGGTGTCACAAGGGTAGTGTAAGGTGTCACAAGGGTAGTGTAAGGTGTCACAAGGGTAGTGTAAGGTGTCACAAGGATAGTGTAAGGTTAGGTTAGGTTAGGTTAGGTAAGGTTCGTCAGGAAACAGGACAAATGTTTCCTGACGCGGGTCTTAGTCAGATGATGACCCGACTTTGGAGCTTTTGGTCATCTGACCGAGGCCTTCCGCTGGCTTACCGGTCCACCCCTTTAAAAATTATTGTCATTTATAACCATTGTTATATGACTTCAGCAATATAGTGTAAGGTGTCACAAGGGTAGTGTATGGTGTCACAAGGGTAGTCCAAGGTGTCACAAGGGTAGTGTAAGGTGTCACAAGGGTAGTGTAAGGTGTCACAAGGGTAGTGTAAGGTGTCACAAGGGTAGTGTAAGGTGTCACAAGGGTAGTGCAAGGTGTCACAAGGGTAGTGTAAGGTGTCACAAGGGTAGTGTAAGGTGTCACAAGGGTAGTGTAAGGTGTCACAAGGGTAGTGTAAGGTGTCACAAGGGTAGTGTATGGTGTCACAAGGGTAGTGCAAGGTGTCACAAGGGTAGTGTAAGGTGTCACAAGGGTAGTGTAAGGTGTCACAAGGGTAGTGTAAGGTGTCACAAGGGTAGTGTAAGGTGTCACAAGGGTAGTGCAAGGTGTCACAAGGGTAGTGTAAGGTGTCACAAGGGTAGTGTAAGGTGTCACAAGGGTAGTGTAAGGTGTCACAAGTTTAGTGCAAGGTGTCACAAGGGTAGTGTAAGGTGTTACAAGGGTAGTGTATGGTGTCACAAGGGTAGTGCAAGGTGTCACAAGGGTAGTGTAAGGTGTCACAAGGGTAGTGTAAGGTGTCACAAGGGTAGTGTATGGTGTCACAAGGGTAGTGCAAGGTGTCACAAGGGTAGTGTAAGGTGTCACAAGGGTAGTGTAAGGTGTCACAAGGGTAGTGTAAGGTGTCACAAGGGTAGTGCAAGGTGTCACAAGGGTAGTGTAAGGTGTCACAAGGGTAGTGTATGGTGTCACAAGGGTAGTGCAAGGTGTCACAAGGGTAGTGTAAGGTGTCACAAGGGTAGTGCAAGGTGTCACAAGGGTAGTGTAAGGTGTCACAAGGGTAGTGTAAGGTGCCACAAGGATAGTGTAAGGTGTCACAAGGGTAGTGTAAGGTGTCACAAGGGTAGTGTAAGGTGTCACAAGGGTAGTGCAAGGTGTCACAAGGGTAGTGTAAGGTGTCACAAGGGTAGTGTAAGGTGTCACAAGGGTAGTGTAAGGTGCCACAAGGATGGTGTAAGGTGCCACAAGGATAGTGTAAGGTGCCACAAGGGTAGTGTAAGGTGTCACAAGGGTAGTGTAAGGTGTCACAAGGATAGTGTAAGGTGTCACAAGGGTAGTGTAAGGTGTCACAAGGGTGGTGTAAGGTGTTGTCAGAACAAGAGGCGAAGTGTTCGAGACTCACCCTAGTGTTGTTCCTCTCAGCTTTGAGCTCACTGATCTCTTCGTCTCGCTCCAATAACTGTTCTCGTGCACCGTTCACCTCCTTCGTTAGCGTCGCAAATTCCTGTCAAGAACAATAATACCAACATTAGAAGGGTATTTCCTCTTAACATATTTACCAATGATCAATATCATCAACACTTAATATATCAACATCAACACTTCATGTAGCAGTGACAACAATGTATTATATCATCAATACTTCATGTAGCAGTGACAAAAAATATAACATTAGAGACATTCATCAACCTCTGCTAACAATTCATCACACATTCATCAACCTCTGCTAACAATTCATCACACATTCATCAACCTCTGCTAACAATTCATCACACATTCATCAACCTCTGCTAACAATTCATCACACATTCATCAACCTCTGCTAACAATTCATCACACATTCATCAACCTCTGCTAACAATTCATCACATGAAGATCTTGCCATTATCTCATTACTTCCAATAATAGAACAAATGTTGTGACAACTTTTATGTGGATAATTGCTAGAGTGATCTAAGGTAATGCCTGTGTTAAGCCAGTGACATTGTTATTGTCTTTTTATTACACTGAGAGTGCCTTCACAAGGTGGATTTTACACATAAGTTAGGATCAGCATAAAGGTGCCTTTAAAACTGCTATTTGGTCAGATCATAGATTTTAAAGGAATTTACAATCGTGATCACTTAAAGAAAATATGATAAACAATAGAATGATCAAATAGAAAATTCAGGGCTGTTATATTTTTCATATTTATGGTAGACATCGCAACACTTTCCTCCACAACCGAGAAGTGCTTCCATCTGAGGAACAACTATATGCATACTGCCTGCTGCATACAGGCAGGAGTATGATACACATACAGGGGTATAAGTTAATACACATATAGGGGTATAAGTTAATAATACACATACAGGGGTATAAGTTAATAATACATATACAGGGGTATAAGTTAATACACATATAGGGTTATAAGTTAATAATACACATACAGACATACAGGGGTATAAGTTAATACACATACAGGGGTATAAGTTAATAATACACATACAGGGGTATAAGTTAATACACATATAGGGTTATAAGTTAATAATACACATACAGGGGTATAAGTTAATAATACATATACAGGGGTATAAGTTAATACACATATAGGGTTATAAGTTAATAATACACATACAGGGGTATAAGTTAATACACATACAGGGGTATAAGTTAATACACATATAGGGGTATAAGTTAATAATACACATACAGGGGTATAAGTTAATACACATATAGGGGTATAAGTTAATAATACACATACAGGGGTATAAGTTAATACACATATAGGGGTATAAGTTAATACACATACAGGGGTATAAGTTAATAATACACATACAGGGGTATAAGTTAATACACATATAGGGGTATAAGTTAATAATACACATGCAGGGGTATAAGTTAATAATACACATACAGGGGTATAAGTTAATAATACACATACAGGGGTATAAGTTAATACACATATAGGGGTATAAGTTAATAATACACATACAGGGGTATAATTTAATTATACACATACAGGGGTATAAGTTAATAATACACATACAGGGGTATAAGTTAATAATACACATACATGGGTATAAGTTAATAATACACATACAGGGGTATAAGTTAATAATACACATACAGGGGTATAAGTTAATAATACACATACAGGGGTATAAGTTAATAATACACATACAGGGGTATAAGTTAATACACATACAGGGGTATAAGTTAATAATACACATACAGGGGTATAAGTTAATAATACACATACAGGGGTATAAGTTAATAATACACATACAGGGGTATAAGTTAATAATACACATACAGGGGTATAAGTTAATAATACACATACAGGGGTACAAGTTAATAATACACATACAGGGGTATAAGTTAATAATACACATACAGGGGTATAAGTTAATAATACACATACAGGGTATAAGTTAATAATACACATACAGAGGTATAAGTTAATAATACACATACAGGGGTATAAGTTAATACACATATAGGTGTATAAGTTAATAATACACATACAGGGGTATAAGTTAATAATACACATACAGGGGTATAAGTTAATAATACACATACAGGGGCATAAGTTAATACACATATAGGAGTATAAGTTAATAATACACATACAGGGGTATAAGTTAATAATACACATACAGGGGTATAAGTTAATAATACACATACAGGGGTATAAGTTAATAATACACATACAGAGGTATAAGTTAATAATACACATACAGGGGTATAAGTTAATACACATATAGGTGTATAAGTTAATAATACACATACAGGGGTATAAGTTAATAATACACATACAGGGGTATAAGTTAATAATACACATACAGGGGCATAAGTTAATACACATATAGGAGTATAAGTTAATAATACACATACAGGGGTATAAGTTAATAATACACATACAGGGGTATAAGTTAATACACATACAGGGGTATAAGTTAATACACATATAGGGGTATAAGTTAATAATACACATACAGGGGTATAAGTTAATAATACACATACAGGGGCATAAGTTAATAATACACATACAGGGGTATAAGTTAATAATACACATACAGGGGTATAAGTTAATACACATACAGGGGTATAAGTTAATAATACACATACAGAGGTATAAGTTAATACACATACAGGGGTATAAGTTAATAATACACATACAGGGGTATAAGTTAATACACAAACAGAAGGTGAAATAAGTGATCTTGAGGTTAGTGAAGAACTTGGAGAAAAGAAAAACAAATCGCTTAGTTTGAATATCTCGTCGAGCTATCTAAATAATGATAATAAAGTTAATGCCCCTGATTTTCGTGCAGTGGACAATGTGTGGCTACGGGATTGCCAGAGTAGTGTAGATGGGGCTGACCTGACTGCAAAATATCAAGATGGAGCCTAAAAAGAGGGTGGAGGAAATGGTTACCAATATGACATTTTCCAGGTCATCACGCAAGTTGCATGTATTCCAAACAGAGAAATTAGATCAAACATAAATGACCCTAAATGGATAAACAATAGTTTTGGCTCAACTTTGACCATAAACTAAGTCACACACTAAAAAGTTATCATAAGTTTTTTGCACCTATGTGGTGGTTATCTGTGTAATAGATTAAAATATTTGATAGGTTAATCAAGAGAGGAGAGGGTCACCTGTCCCCTCTTGATAGACCAACATATTCAATTTAGGACAGAAAAAAAAAACAAGAGAGAGGAATAAGAAAGGCTCAAAAGATATGACATTAAAGTTGTGAAGAAACAGCAAACATACAATAAAACAGATTTCCATACAGCAAATATCAGCTAAAACAGACAAAGAAATCTGGCAGGACAAAGGCTTAACATGTATGTTTATTGGGCTGTCTGGTTAAAATAGCCATGAAGTGGACCAAATCTGCTATATCAAACAAATATCCAGTGCAGTCATGCATTCAATAAAGTGAACCAACTCTGCTTAACTTAACCCTTTCAGGGTCCGTCCCGTAGATCTACGGCTTTACGGTGAGTGTCCAAACCGTAGATCTACGCCATGAGCTCAGCTCACTCTGATAAACTGTGAGTGGTACATTTGGGCCTAGATATGAGAGAATACATCTATGTGGTATGTGTGCACCACATAAAACAGATCCTGCAGCACACTGTGTATAATGAGAGAAAAATACTGAAATCATGATTTTTCGATTAAAACAGCAACTTTGCAGTGTTTTTTCGTATGTTTTTTATAGTTGTATTTGCGATTTCTTGGTCTCACTTGATAGAATGGAAGACATATTACAGAAATAGCGATGATTTTGATTGGTTTTAGCAATGGAAATGGCTTGAAACTGAGCTCAAAGTAGCGGAAATGTTAAATTTTTGCCGATATTCAAGAGTAAACAAACGACCTCACACGTCTAATACACGTCAACTGGTGGGTCTAATATACATTCACAAATATGATGATGATATTTATACAATTATTACAGTATTGCATAACAGTAAATCTTCTATTTTTTGGTGTGAATAAAAATTCATTATGTGAATAAAAAATCAAAATGGAATTTATTTGTAAAGCCTCAAAACATAACTAATGAACAGAGGAAATGTTAGTTTAGTTCCAGGAATACCTACATTGTTTATTCTGGACCCTATTTTGAAATTGGAATATTTTGAACTTTGTGTTAAATTGGCCAAATCAACAATTTCCGATCACTTTATTTTGTAGTTGAAACAGTTGACTTGGCGATTTCTTGTGCTCAATCGATAGAATAGAAGTAATACTAGTGAAATAGCTAAAAATTTGGTTGATTGGAATAATGTAATTGGCCTAAAATGGGAGTCGAATTCGGCAAAATCGCCGATTCATAAATATCGCTGACACATCAAAATTCGCGAGAGCATAATTTCGTCAATTTTCCACCAAATTTCGTACTTTTTGTTTTATTACCTTCACAAAAAGATTCTCTACGATTTCATAAGAAAAAATATACAAATTTTTTTTTTGGAAAATTCTTGGACATGGTGCGTGACTCCAGATTTGGGCCTTGGACCCTGAAAGGGTTAATCACATGTTTATACAGGCACCATCTAGTGCCAAATTCACCACCTTAAATCTCGATAAGTACTGGTCCCTAATTTTTTTTTTTTTTTTTTTTGGGGGGGGGGGGCTTTCTTACACACACAGATTGCCATCTGTTTTTGAAAAAAAAAAATCAAAATATTCAGAGTGCTATCAGTGAAAACATAGATCAACAATTGGAGAATTAAAGGGTTAAACTAAGTGAACAAGGTATAATAATAATAATAAAAATAATAATAAAAATAATAATAATAAAAATAATAATAAAAATAATAATAATAATAATATAATAATAATAATAATAATAATAATAATAATAATAATAATAATAATAATAATAATAATCATTCTGGAGTGCTTTAACTGTCATATATGTCATTATAGACATTTTCATTAATCCATCTATGACTTTTTTTCAAAATTATATAAGAAATATGCTACATACATAA